CTTTATATTTTATCGATGCTATTCAATTCGGGATTCTTTCCGTAAAAGCCACGCTAATTTTTTTCTTTTTTTACATCGGACCGAGATTTCTCTTTACCCTGTCGTTTATACGACAAGCTCATAGAAAGAAATAAAAACTGTCGATTTATCGTCTCTTGGCCATCTTGCTTTACTTTATCTTTTTTCCAATTGTCTCTCTATTCATCCACCTATCAACGAATCTTTTTTAATCTATTTTTTTTTTCTAATTGAAAATCATCTTATTGGTTATTTTAATATGTTTTGATTATCATTAGATTATTTTATTAATCTATTTTGCGACGTATTTTATTATTTATTTTTTACTAAAACTTAACCATTCAATTAACTTAATATTAGACTGTAAATTTCAATAGTTTGTCTATATGAAAAATATTTTGGCGTAATAGTTGTACGAAAGTTTTTCTTATTACTGACCTTAGTTATAGCGCATTTAGACTAAAAATAATGCCATTTCACGATACAATTAAGTTATTTAAAAACCTTTTTTTTTTTTTTTTTGTTTTTGTTTTTGTTTAGTCGTCATCCAATTCTTGCTTAACTCTATTAGTTTTCTTCGTTCATTAATATACGATAGTCGATGAGCAGCAAGTTTATAAAAATTTCTCGACATTTCCTTATGTACTAAATTCAGATATAATATAGTGTTTAAATAAGTCATTAGCATTCATTATCTCGAGTTCAGATTATAAATATATCGCAAAAGAAAAAGAGAGTAAACGCCGGAAGAGTATTGCGTTGACACGTATATTACTGTAAAATTTAGATAAAGGCTCGCTAATCGCGTTGAATGATCGACTCGGCCGAATCAAGCGCTCATTCTTTACTTAAACAATGTTTATTTGTGTGGCTGAAGGTCCGTTCAGAAATAATTTCGATATAATATCCATCGCTGGCCTCCCTTGACATAATCCGCAGACATCAAGACGTATCGGATCTAAGCCATACGAATGTAATTCCAAAGAGAGGGGAAGGAAATAGAAAGAGGAAGAATATAATGGGCCTGCTCCGCATTTAATGGGAAGCTCTGAAAAATTTGTTTACTCGCACCGATGAGCCACGAGTTAACACATTATTGTTGCGAGGTGTGACAGACCTGCAAATCCTAATCTGTCGTGTCACCCGCCGCGCACTGGATCATGGCCGTCCGCTCGGATCCACTCTCCTCGGCTCTGTGATCCGCCTTCCAGAAACGCTCCTTAGTCTCCTCGGGAGCGCTCGTCCCGCGTCATTATGATCGGTCGGGAAAACGGCCGTGCTGCCTGGGGGCTTTCCCGACGCTCGCTCGGCTAGAGGAAACCCTACATTGTGGCACCTACTTTCTTCTCCAGCGTCCTCGACACCGTTACGAGCTTCTTGGGCAAACTGCGAACTCCTACCTGCCGAGCCAATGATACAGTTCTAATGCCTCTCCACCTCGGCGTCCTCCCCCGCTCACCCTCTCTCACTCTCTCTCACACACACTCTCTCTCTCTCTCTCTCTCTCTCTCTCTCTCTCTCTCTCTTTCTTAGCCGAGCGCATTCTTATCAACGTCTGGGCGAGCATTCTGAACGAATGGTGGAACGTTTTTAATTTAATTTAATTTTGTTTTACTCACGAGTATAAAAGATATCACAACATTCATAAACAATTTCATTGACGATTTCTCTTCGATATTATTCGCGGCATAAATTTTAAGAGTTTTTGGTTTATTAATAATCAGAGTCGAGACGTTTGTTAAATACGTATTTGCTTTACTTTTACGATTGTTTGCCTATTATTTCGAAGGGGGGAGGTAGGAAGAGAGAGAAGGAGAGAGAGAGAGAGAGAAAGAGGAAGAGAGAGAGAGAGAGAGAGAGAGAGGTGAAACATTCATCTGGTCAGTAATAAAAACGTTTATTGCATTGGTAGACTCTTGTCTATTAATTTATAAATAAAATTGTAATAAGGAGATTTTTCATGACCTTCGTTATGTTATTAATCAAGCGTGTTGTTATCCCTCCATTCCTTTTACATTTACGCAAACTACGAGTTCGCTTTAAGATTATTCGATCTTTTGTCGACGTCAGATTAGCCGGTAATTTCCTCGGTTCTCGTTTACTCATTACGAATTCAAATTCAATTAATATTGTGCGTCGGACACGTCCTGAAATACGTAATCGGCGAAAGCAACTACACTCGGGCGGCGAGGAAGGAAAAAATGAAAGAAAAAGAAAATGAAAAATATATAACAGATAATAAAATGCAATTTCTCACAAGGATAATGTGAGCTGGTATTGTAGACGTGCGGCTACCGGGAAGCGTTGATAGATAAAGAGCGACGCTTTTCACAATGTGAATTCCAGTAGTTTTCCGAGACATCGCTTCCGATTGCACAAGGCGCATTGAGGAATCGTAAAGTCCGTGCTTACGGCTCCCGCTCTCTTGTTCCCGCACGAAGAAGTCCTCGCGCCCGGAAAGAGT